ACCAGCAATGCAGTTGAGTAGATTTAAATCAATCGTATAGGGCTCGTAACAAGATAAATCCTTTAAAGTAGCAAAACAAGATAAAGCACCAGGAAAGAACCAAATTTGAGAATAGATGCGAGGTAATTGATGTGAAATGGTCAAATGATCAATTTTAGAACTTTGAAGAAATAATAATCTGTAAATTGCCACTCCTACAAAGTCTCTTGTGTCTTCAGTGTAAAAACAAAGATGATTTCTTTGAGCCTTTCTTAACATGTAATCTATGTCATAAGTGTCCAAGGATCTACAATATCTTGCATAGTCGAAAAGAGGAGGACCAGAATCGATACGGATACCGTAATTAAGTAAGAAAAGTTTTGAGTCAGCCGAGAAACAAGTAGAGAGAGTCTTCAAAAGTAACAAGGATTGAATTTCCACATGAGTCGATCGTTTATGATCAGTTGATAAACGGCCATTTGGAAGCAGTTCATAATGATATTTCCAAGGATTTGACCACAATATCGGAATAGTAGTTGCACACCATAAAGAGTTTACCAGAAGGCAATAATAAAGAGTTGTTAGGTCATTCTGAAAGTGCATAAATATTATAGAAAGACAGTCCGCGGGAAGGCTTGGCATTTGTAATGATTAATAATGAGATTAGAATAGAGTGAAAAAAAATGATAAAATGCTAACTATGCTAACTCTATGCTATTTATATACGTCGACGCGTTTTTTTTTTGATTTAATTTTGTGATAACGATAATCCCCTAAACCAGTCACGTGGATAATTTACCTACGTAAGTACGTACGAAGATCCGTGAAATTGAAATAATTTCACCACTATTGGTAATTTCAAGAATCTCGACAAGAGTAAGTAGGTAAATTTAATCTTGTCAAGAATATGTACATAAATGTATATCAATATAAACATATTACGGTACTTTTCAACCTTATCGACCGTTATTAGATATTTACGTATAGTCTTAAGTATAGCAAAGCAAGATTGTTGACTAATCAAAGAAAATTTTGATATATAAATAGTAGCGAAACTTTAATCTTGTATATTAATCTAATTTTCAGGCGATATATTCAGTCGACATATTCAGTCGATATAGATACCGATACGTTAATTAACGTTAAGCAGTCACTTGAATTTATCTACTTAGCAGTTAGTACGTACGTATGTGTCCGGTATGTACTTCAATCACATTTATTATTCAAAGGTTATAATTCAAGGTTATATAATTAGTTATAATTAATAGAATATAAAATCATTTAAATAATATAAATAGTTACCTACGTACGTACGCATTGTACTGGTATTGTATGTACGTACATACGTACTGGTACGTTAACGTTAAACAATCTTGATCGTTTTCACTCTGCTGAATTTGCATTCTTATATATAAAACTATATATAGTTAGTAAAGTTAATAATATGTATACAATATTGGGCAAAATTTGTCGAATAACGGTAATTTGGTAAAACCGGGGCAAATGAACACGTGCCGCGAAGCGGCACGTGAGCCAATCATTTGCCCGGTTGAGCCAAATTATCGTATTCGACAAATTGCCCAATATTGGTGTTATCCGGCAATTTATGATCATGATTGGTAGGGAGTCATCGACTGAGTTTTAATTTGAATAAACATGATTACATCATAACACATGAAAAAAATAACAAGACAGATGGCAATTCATGATCATAAGAGTTTGCCGGATAATGTAGTAATAATTGGTAATGTTATTTTGTTTTATAAGCCCATTAGTTTCGGTTCGAATTATTTTAGGCAGTAAATCCCTTTTAAGACTAGTCAAAAAGTGAGTACCCGAGCAATATATCAACCAATTATAGAGAAGTCATTCTATAATACTGCAATAGCATTGTTATCGATTTTCATTGCAGCATGGAATAGGCATTATAATTATAACATTAAAAACATGGATTTCGATGTTCAATTTTTTGCAAATCTCTAAGAGTATGATTTACAAGTCTCGTGACATAGAAACTCCGGAACATTTTAGTTCGGAACCAACCAACCCGACTAATGTTGTATAACAATTAATAAAGCATAACATTTTAACGTTAATAAAATCTTAATAATTAGATCTTAAAGTAATCTTTAGGTACATAAGTACTTGCATATGTAAGTACGTACGTATGTACATGCGTTTAAGAATTTAGCATTAAAAAACATTGTAATAATCGCAATAATCGCAATTCAGTGATTGAAAAAGAAGAACTGATTGGCTAATTTCATTTGAATGATAAAAGAAATGTATGTACGTACATACATAACAGATAACTGATAAGTACGTGCGTATGTACGTTATTCATTCTATAGAAAGACTTTCAGAATGTTAAAACTTAATATTTGATGAATTATTTGAATTATTTGATGAATTATTTGATGAATTATCTTTGGTATTACAGAAACAATAAACAAAATTAACAAATAACAAAATTGATAAGAAATGATACAAAATAATATTGCCACGAGTTTCCTTTTAAAAGAATTCTATAAAGTAAAAATTATTATTTGCTTTTTTTATGTTGATTATGTTGATTATGTTGCGTCAGACACGTTGAGTCTTAAGGTTGTACACATGATCTGGTGCTCGATCCGCACTATTGTTGTGAAGTAGGTCGATTGCCCGGAGTTTCGCGATCAGGTGAATAAGAATAAATGATACTAAAAACATGATGTTTTTTATACAACAATCAGCTTATCGTTATGTTTGAGTAACCACTTATAACTGAACTTGCGCCCCCCCTTCTATATTTATATATGGTACTTTTTACCGTTTTTAGCTGAGAAATTACACATATTCACTTTCTCCCCTTTCAAGTTTTCTCATACAGAAAAAAACAAAAATTTTATTAATTAATTCTTATTTTTTTGCAAATAACTCTTGTCTTTCTCATACTATACATAAAAAATGACCGGTCGTGGTAAGGGTGGTAAAGGTCTCGGAAAAGGTGGTGCTAAACGGCATAGAAAGATTCTTCGTGACAACATCCAAGGTATCACCAAACCTGCTATCCGTCGTCTTGCACGCCGTGGTGGTGTAAAACGTATCTCGGGTCTTATTTATGAAGAAACCCGTGGTGTATTAAAAGTTTTTCTTGAAAATGTTATTCGAGTATGTTAACACTTTTTTTTTATCCTACTTCTCTTTGATGCTTCTCTTGAAAACAAAAAGTTCTTTGTAGGTTATTGCCTTTTTAGGAAATGTATATGTAAACTAAACTTTGTTATTTTCGTTTTCGTTTTTAAAGGATGCCGTCACTTATACTGAACACGCGAAACGTAAAACTGTAACATCTCTTGATGTCGGTGAGTATTTTGTCTTGTAGATCCTGTTTCTCTTATTATTATTCATATTGCACTTCTTTCTCGATTTCTCTCGTATTCGCTTTCTTTCGCATTTCTTTGTATTCCTTTTTTGCATTTCTTTTTACATTTCCTTTTGCATTCTTTTCGTATTCTTGCTTTCATTACTAATGTACTTTCTCTGTGATTTTTTTTAGTTTATGCTCTTAAACGCCAAGGCCGCACTCTTTATGGTTTTGGAGGTTAAGACTTTATTATCTATGAAAATGGTTTTCTACATTGTTATAAAAAAGAAAACAACACTTCCAATTTCTTCCATCATTTATGCTTTTATAAGATATTAGCTTTCTTTATACGTGAGGTCATTAATAATCCTCTCACACTGCTTTCATTATCAAAATATTTTGTAAAAAAAAAAAAAAAAAAATGTTCTTGAATAATTGTAATATATTTACTTATGAATATGTTACAACTGTTACTGACGGATAATAAAAATTTTAATTTCAACTGCTAATCAAATTAATGGAAATTATTTCTTTGTTGTTTAGAGGGTTATCATTTTTCTCATTATTCTCATTATTGCATTAGTATTAATGCATTTTTAAAATCTCTGCATACTGTTTGAAAAAAAGATATTGATGCACTCGTAAGACTCCGCATAAAAAAAAAATAAACTCTAAATATTTTTCGAAACAGTACAAATTGAAATTATGTATAATCGATGTTTGACTTTTTTTTCATCGATAAATATAAGTATATCAGATCAATTCGAATTTGTAGTAAAATTTTATTAATTCCTACGGTTTTTCTTTTTTATGATCTCGTTAAATCATCAAACAAATTGTCTTTTTTTAAAGCTACATTTGGAATTACTTTTGGAATTAATTCTACAATCATAGTTGATAAATATAAAATCCCCATTATCAGTTAAATAATTCCCTTAAATTGTCCAATTAATTATCTACGAATTCAACAAAGATTTCTCTGCAGGTTCATTCAACACCAAACTATCATCCTTTTGTCGTTCACTATCAACGCACTGTATCGGCCTCAATTGTTCCATTATTGTTCGTGTTAGTGATGTTTGCCCACGTTCTCTTCCTTTGGGTTTAATCGGACGTGGTGTACGTGATAATTTAAATGATTGTTGTGTTAAATTGCTTGGTAAATTTGCCCTCACATCAGCCACTGGATTAGTATTAGGTGGAGGTATAGATACAAGTTTCGGTGCTATCTTCTTTCCTAATGTTGTTGGTGCCACATTGCTAATTATTTCATTATTTACGTTTTTTGAAATAATCGTCGCGGGTGGTGGTGGTAGCTAGTA